TTCCCACCTCCATCCCTCCCATTCCCACCTCCATCTCACTTCTGCCAGAGCTCCTCCCAAGGGCACCATGACCTTCTCACTTCAGCTTTCTAGTCTCCATGGCGTTTGACACTCTGGTCACTCCACCCTGTCTTAAAGCTGCTCGCTCCCTCCCTCCCTCCCTCACTCCCTCCCTCCCTCCCTCCCTCCCTCTCTGTTTTTTTGTTTTTGTTTTTTCCTTTCCAATACAGAGTTCTCTGTGTAGCCCTGGCTGTCCTGGAGCTCTGTAGACTAGTCTGGCCTTGAACTCAGAGATGCTGCTAGGCTTCTCTATTGTTTCTGGACACTCACTTCCCACCCCCTCCCTCTCCCTCCTTTTGTCTCAGTCTCCCTTCACTTGCTTCCTCCTCTCTGTGGTCTTCCCTGGTGTTCAGCTCTTCTCTCTCTTCGCAGTCTGTAAATCCAAGCCTCTAGCATCACCTGGATGCTGACATTTCCTAACTTCAGCTGGGAGCCCTTAGATTTAGATTTACATGTTTTAGGTCCCCTCTTCCTCCTCCATGTCTTCTTTTTTTTGTTGCATGTGCTTGTGTGTTTGCTTTCATGTGGAGGTCGGAGGGCAACTTTCAGGGGTGTTCTTGCCTTCTGACTTTTTCTGTTTTCTGTTTTTTTTTTTAAAGACATAGTCTCACTATGTAGCCTTGAACTTGCTATGCAGACTAGTCTAGCCTCGATCTCAGAGGTCCGCCTGCCTCTGCCTCCAGAGTGCTGGCATTAAATGCCTGCACTGTGTACCTTCTGTCTTTTGAGGTAGGATCTCTGCTGTGGGCTGTGAGCTGAGTTTCCAAGAGGTTCTCCTATCTCTTGTCTCCCGTCTTGACTGAGATTACAGGTGTACAACACTGCATCAAACTTTTTCTTTCTTTTTTTTTTTTCCAGACAGGGTTTCTCTGGGTAATGTACTCTCTCGATTTGTAGACCAGGCTGGCCTCGAATTCACAGAGAGTGAATTCTCCCTAGTGCTGGGATTAAAGGCGTGCACCATCACCACCCAGTAGCTTTTTTTCTTTTTTTTTAAGTGTAGTTATTGGTATTGGATTTGAGTTATCCAGTCCAAAATCAGTGACTGGCTGGACAAAAGTCTCCAGACAGACAGGCCTTCTCCCCAGGTACCCCTCCCTACCCCCCACAGAAACATGAAATGAATTTCCTCCCCTCACTCCCGGACCCCTCACAAAGAAGACACAAAGTCAGGATTGATGCTGAATCTTTTTTTTTTTTTTTTCATTTTGCTTTCTTAAAGCGTGTGCTGAGCTGGTGGAGGGAGCAGTTTGGCGATTAAAAAGGCCCAGCAGCTTGGGCAGCGGCATGGGGAAGCCAGGGGAGGGAGGGGTGTCCCTCTGTCCCAGGCCAAGGGGTAGCAAAGCCCGCGCTAACTTCGTAAAATACAAAACAGGGAGAGATGACGGGAGGGAAATTTGTAAAATACAATATCTTAGGGGATTGGCAATAATAAAAAATAAGGTTCATTATTTACAAACAATTTCTGTTCTTGGTCTCTGTACAGTAGGAGATGGGGGCGTGTGATCGTGTGGGCACGTGTTTGTATGTATGTCTGTGTGTTTGTGTGTGTGTATGAGGGGCCAGGAACAGTGGTCGTGTTGGTCACTATGGGAAAGGAACCGGAGTGGTGGCCCAGTGAGTGGTTTATTGGAGGAGGGTGGGTGATTGTGGGAGAGAGAAGTGGGACAGAGTGGTTGGCCCAGGGGAGCAGTCCAAATGTCCGGGGACAGAGAGGGACCCCAGCCACAGCCGGGACTGGGGTGGCTGAGGAGAAGAAAGACCCCTTCTCCTGGGGCAGAGGGCCCCAGGGCGGGGGTGGGAGCTGGATCTGGGTCAGTGAGCAAGAGAACGCCTCTTCTGGGTGCCAGGGTGTCCGTCCTGTGTCCTGGGTCTCGGAGAGGCCTAGGAGAGTTTGATGGTGGTGTTGGGGCCCAGATCCCTGGAGAGAGAAGAGGATCCAGGCATGAATTTGCTTTGAGAAGTCCATCACTCAGCTGTGAGCTGGGTCTAGACCAGGGACCTCCTCCTCTGAAAGGATGCCCCGCCCCCAGGAAGATGCCCCTCCCCCGGGAAGATGCCCCCTTCCCCCGAAGATGCCCCTCCCCTGGGAAGATACCCCTCTCCCCAAAAATGCCCCCCTCCCCCTGGGAAGATGCCCCTCCCCAGGGAAGATGCCCCTCCCCCGGGAAGATGTGACTCACGGTGGTGCAGCCTGAGATCCTACCCCTCTACTCACCTGTCGTGGAACCACTCCTTGGGGTGGGAGAAGTTGGGGCTGGTGCCGTTGTCATTAGTGTCCTCTGGCCAGGTCTCACTCAAGTACTTGGTGGTCTCATGGGTGCTGTCCACATAGTCATGTCGGAGGTGGGCCTGGGGCCTCGGCTCTCCTGGCCCCCCGGGCTTGAGCTCCCAGCCTTCTGGGGGCTCCACAGGCAGTAGGGCACCTCGGCCATCTTCCCACGAACCTGTCCCATCATCGTAGAACAGCAGGCTTCGGGAGGGCACTGGGGAACAAGCACAGGGTGAGCCGTGGGTGCTCCTCAGGGTCCCCCTCTGCCCAGACATGTGCTGGGCAGGAACAGCGGCACTGCGGCACTGCGTCTTACAGGCCTGACTCTTAGTCCTAGCTCTAAGGACCCCTGGCTGTGTGATCTCAGCTTAGTCACATACACTCTGCTCTGATTTTGCTGAGCATTTGTTTGTTGATCTGCAAAATGGGGATGGTAGAATCAACCTCACGGAGATTCAAGGATTGGTGAGTGATACAGTGTAAGGGACTGAAAGTGTGCTTAGCAAAACCACGAGCTCACAAAAATGCAGCACTTCTGAGAAGAGAGTGCTCGGTTGGTTGCTTACGGAAAACTGGAATTCCTCCACCTCACCCACCCCGCCCCTCCACTGTGTGGTCCTAGGGATCAAACCCAGAGCTTCAGGCACTCTAGGCCGGATACTCTACCGCCAGGATACAGAGCCAGCTTACCCATCTTCCCGCCCCAGCCTCTCTTTCTCTCAGGTTCCTTTTGAGACAGGGTCTCACTGAGTTGCTCAGGCTCGTCATTAATTCATTTTGTAGCCTGGGTAACTGTTTAACTTTCACTCTTCCTGCTTTGACCTGAGAAACCGGGATCGCAGGCCTACACCTTCAGGACCTGCTGAGAGCTGGGTTCTAATCCTACCATGTCACGCGCTTCCTAGGAGACTTAAGGGAAACTTTTTCTCTTCACTTCTAGGCAAGGTCACCCTTCGGAGAAGTCAAGGGGAGGGAAATGGACATTTGCTGGACACCTGTGCCAGGTATTACATAAATAAAGCCTTCAGTTTACAGCACATTGAGTCTCACACGAAGCCCCAGAAGTGAGGTGTTTTAAGCCCTGCTTCCCAGAACTCATCATCAAGGGCCCCTGCAAGCTGGCTTCCTGGCTCCAGCCTGCTGGCTCCCTCCCAGCTTCCCCTGCAGGGTCTAATCTAGGGGGATCTATGGAAAAGGCGGCCCCTGGCATTGTGTGGAGCTGTAGCCCGGAAACCGGTCTGCTCAACAAGGCACCTCCTTCCTCAGACGTGCCCTCTCCCCTGCCCGGGGCTGCGCTCGCTCCGCAGGCTCCCCATGCCCGGCCTTCCCCTCCCTGGGTGATGTCCACGGCACTGCCCTTCTCCACTGTGTTCTCAGTCTTCTCCTCTGGCCTCCACAGACGGGGCTCTCAGAGCCTGGGTCCCCCCACCCCAGTCACAGCGCTCCCCAGCGGATCCAATCCCTCTTCCTCCTGGTGCTCCTCCCTGCAGGCTCTCCGATCTTGCTCGGCCTCCCGGCAGTACCCCTCCCCTAAACACACTCCTGCCCTCCCCTCTCTCTGACCTCTCATCTGTTTCCTCTTTCTCTTCTGCCACGTCAGATTCCTGCTTCTGGCATTTGAAGGGGGGGGGGGGCTGCAAGATCCTCCAGGGCCTGCCTGAAGTGGCCTCTGCCTCGGAAAGCCACACCATTCTTTGCCGGTCCCTGTACTGACTCTTCCCGCCCTGGCTTTCCCTTCACATCAGGAGCTAGTCCAGGAGGCAGGGCGGGCATATGCTCCCCTAGAATGCACTAGAACCACTGTGCACCGTAAGGACAGCAGCTTCTGGGTGTCTAGAGAACCTAAGATACACGCCCTGGGTCACACAACCAGCCCACAGCAGCGTCCGCTGGGACTGACTCTGAACCACCGGACCACACAGTAACCCACGGGGTGGCACCCACAACACAACTATCACTCTCACCAGGGGTCGGTGCTCCTGGCAGAGTCCCAGACACCTTGCTGTGGGTCCCCCTGTGCCTCAGAATCTTTCTTAACTCTGCGTGTCCAGCAGTCTCTACCACATTAGAAGTGACCGAAGACGGACATTCATTTGCTGTCCCGATACTAAAACACAGCGGTGCTTAGCCAATGCATCATAACCTCTGCCACCCCATACACAGAGGTTGGACCTACAACACCCTACTGTTCTCTGAGTCACACCAAAGGATCTCAGAGAGGCAGACTTAGAGTTTGGGTCGAATTCTACCACTAACATTAAACACACTGTAGACCCTTATTGGGGTTCAGTTACTCTATCTACAAAATTAAAGTGTAGAATGAGATAATGCCAACCCCAATCTTTTTGTTGGTTTGTTTGTTTGTTTGTTTGTTTGTTTTTGGTTTTTCGAGACAGAGTTTCTCTGTGTAGCCCTGGCTGTCCTAGAACTCACTCTGTAGACCAGGCTGGCCTCGAATTCACAGAGATCCACCTGCTTCTGCCTCCGAAGTGCTGGGATTAAAGGCGTGCGCCACCACTGCCAGGTTTCCAATCTCGATCTTTGAAAAATATTTTTTTTAATTTTTTTTAAATGTATATGGAGATTCTGCCTGCTTGTGTGTGCATCACTTGCATGCTTTGGTGCCTTCAGAGACCAGAAGATGGCACTGAATCCCTTGGAACTGGAGTTACAGTGGCTGGGAGCCACCTGTAACCACCATGTGGGTGGTTAGGAATCAAACCACTGAGCCATCCTCTCCAGCCCTTAAAACGTTTTTTGAAACAGGGTCTCACTATGTAGCCCTGGCTGGCCTGGAACTCCCCATGTACACTGGGCTGGCCTTGAACTCGTAGAGATCCACTTGTCTCTGCCTCCTGAGCGCTGGGATCAAAGGTGTGTGCCGGCACACCTGGCATGGCTTCCCTCTTGCAGCCGGCTTCCACCCGGAGTCTGAGAGGTACTCACTCTGACTGGCTGTGTAGACACTGTCGGCTGCAATAGGGTCTTCCTTCACGGTCTTCGAGCCGGAAGAGAAGGCAGGAAGGCAGGGCGCCAGGGAGCCCAGCACCAGAACGAAGCACAAGGCTGCCACCTAGTAGCGGGCAGAGCAGTCATCAGATCGGGCAGGGCGGGCCCACAAGATTGGCCACCCCTCTGACTCTCCTCACCCCAAACCATCGCAAGCTCAGTGCTTCCCCAAGAAAGCCTCTCCAGAGCTGGCTGCTTCCTAGAGGTGGAGTCTCTGGCCCTGCTGCAGCCAAGGCTGCTCAGGTCCCCCTCACCGGAATCCGGGGAACATGGAAGCCAGTGTCTGGAGAGGAGGGCGGGTTCTATGTGGTTCTCACCCTCAGGGGAGAGAAGTCAGGAAGGGAAGAAAGAGGAAGGGGAAATGGAGGGTTGCAGCTGTGACCAGGGTGGGGACATATCCCCACATCACACTCTCAGCCCCAGGAAGTTGACAAGAAGGAGCCAAGAGTCCCTGGGGAGCTCCAATAAGGCCCCGCCCTCAGGGCCAAAGCCTGTCCTAGGTGTCCTTTGGGGGCTCTCAGGGACTCCCCATCACCCATTCCAAAAGGAGCCACACTCCCCGAGTCTGTGGAAGCCACTTTCCCAAGGATTGGCCCTTCACTGGATTCAGTGGTATCAATCACACATCTGTCAGAACTGGCCTGGCCAGGCCACTGGCCCCTCCAGGCTCTGCTCACTCTCCTAGAGAGCAGGCCTCCAGAGGAGCTCCCCGCGGTGGCCTTGTGCACGGGAGCAGCACCTACCATGAGGCAGGTGCCCGTCTGAGTGGCCGCCATCTTGTAAGGTCTGGAGATCTTGCTGGTGACCAGAGTCTGGAGTTTCTGCAGCTGCTGGAGCAGGGTCCTGAGGAAGGCACAGTAGTCACCAGGGGGGGATCAGGCACGGTGGCCATGTCTACATGCTGAGGGAGCCGGTTCTGCTCCTGACTAGGCCTTCATGCTTATGTGCCCATTTTAGTCAAGACACAAAAGGTCACCTCCTGCCTGGCTCCCCTGACTTGGGTACTGGGGGCCTGCCTCATGGTGGAAAGCTGGGTCACCCTGTGGAAGCTTAGGGGGTGCCCTGGATTGTTCCTGACTCTTCTACGGAAAGGTTATCTATCTTTTTCTTACTCACACCAGTCACAGACACGTCAGCTTTCCTCCTTTGCACCCCAAAGCACCCTGATGCGACGAGAAAGATTCTTGGCACAGTGGCTAGGGCAGTCAGTAAACCGCAGCCACTGTTTACGTTAATTCGATTGCTGTTTTTACTGTTATCATCATCATCATCATCATCATCGCCACACCTGTAACACTGTAGCTTTATTTGTGGACTTCCACGTCAGTCTCCACTGCTAAGTAAGGGCAAGAACTGGGTACCACCCAGCACGGGGTCCTTTGGGTATACACTCAAGTGTTAAACAGTTAATATTGCACTTCCCCACCCAGCTGGGTTCATGCAGTTTCTGAAGTGAACAGCAGGTGGCGAAATTTCCCTAAAGCTCTTCCATACTTAGGGGCAGAGGTAGCTAGAGGAAGTTTGAAGGCTCCACCCCTATCCTGATTGGGACTGGGGGTGGAGTCGCGGATTCTTTAAGCCAATCAGGGCAGTGGCTGGGTTCGGCCTGAGCCGCTGGGTCAGAGGAAGGAAGGGAGAAAATGCAGTTAGGGTCTCCGGAAGGGAAGCGGGAACAGGAGGATGCCGCTTCCTGGGCACATAGGAAGTTCAGGGCTTAGTTACAACACAGAAAGACCCTGCCTTCTGCCTGCACAGGTGCACCATGGTGTGTACACATACACACCCAATAAATAAATAAACGGAACTCAAAACTTAAAAAAAATAGACAAAACCCCCAAAACCAAACAAACAAAAACCTAGTGTGCACAAGGTCCTGGGTTCAATCCTCAGCATAGCTGGGAGATGGTCGTGTGTTAGGCGCCTAGTAAATGCTGTTGTTTGTATTATTGTAATTACTTCTAGAAAATAATATCAAACACTTCAGTGGATTCATAGCTCAGAGCACTATCCAGAATTCAGAACAGTATTAGAAAAAGAGGCAAAATCAACAAGTGAGTTTTTTTGTTTGTTTGGGTGGTTTTTTTTTTTTTGTGTTTTGTTTTTTGTTTTTTTGTTTTTTGAGACAGGGTTTCTCTGTGTAGCCTTGGCTGACCTAGAACTCGCTCTGTAGACCAGGCTGGACTTGGATTCAGAGAGATTCACCTGCCTCTGCTGGGATTAAAGGTGTGTGCCAGCACTGCTCGGCCAGGTGAGTATTCTTTAATGCCACACACCACGCTGATTTCAGTCATTGTGTCTTAGAACCTTCACACAGGTCCCATTAGCCAGTGCTGCTGTCATGTCCTTGGTGCCAAGAAAATTAGGCCCAGAGGTTCAGGAGAAATAGCAGAGTGGGAAAAGAACCTAGAGCCCGGGGCTGGGATCTCATGCAGGGTGCCCATGTGGGTTCCCAGGCACTGATGCTTCTCAAGCTAAGCGCAATGGAGTCGTCCAGGGCGCTTGTTAAAATGCAGCTGGGGAGCTGGAGAGAGGGCTTAGCAGGTGAAGTGCTCACCCACACATAAGGATCTGAATTTGGACCCGGCATCCCTGTGAAAAGGCCAGGCATGAGCCAGGCATGGTGGCACACACCTTTAGTCCCAGCACTCAAGAGGCAGAAAGCAGGTGGATCTCTGTGAGTTCAAGGCCAGCCTGATCTACATAGCGAGTTCCAGGACAGCCAGAGCTAAATAATAGAGAGACCTTGTCTAAAAAAAAAAAAAAGCCTGGAAGGCAGGCATGGGTGTGCAGGGGAGAGGGACAGTGGACACAGGACGTAGAACCAGCCAGTTCAGCCAACCAGTGGGTGTCAGACTTAGTGAAAGACCCCGTTGCAAATGATAAAGTGAAGAACAGCCATGGAAGACACCAGATGTTGACCTCTGGCGGCACACATACACACACACAACACACACACAACACACAGAGAGATAACACACATGCAAAGATAACACACACACACAGAAACACATACAGATACACACAGAGATAACACACAGATACACACAGAGATAACACACACAGATAACATAACACACACATCACACACACACACACACACACACACACACACACACACACACATACACAAATACACACACATGCACGCTATGTAGATTCTGACCCAGCAATCTTAGGAAAGTCCTGAAATTCCTGATTTCTTACAAGTTCTCAGGCCATAATGGGGAACTGGCTAGCAAGGGTCTAGGCCAGCAGATTTAACAGTCATCGGAACCACTGGAAGGTATACTAAAACCCTGAAAGAGATGGTTCAGTGGTTAAGAGCACTGGCCGCTTTCCCAGAGGACCTGGGCTCAGTCCCCAGCATCCACATGACAGCTCATAACCATCTGGAACTCCAGTTCCAGGAGATCCAACACCCTCTTCTGGCCTCCATGGGCACTTGGCACGCATGTGCTATTCAGACATACATGCAGGCAAAACATTCGTACACATAAAACAAACAGCAGCAACACTGATTGCATCCAGGCACAGTGACGCACACATGGTACTCATAGTACTCAGGAGGCAGAGGCAGAGGAATCAGGAGTTCAAGGTTGTCCTCGGCTCCTTAGCGCTTCTAAAGCCAGCCTGGGCTATATGAGACTCAGTCTCAAAACAAAATAAAATCTACCCAGAGTGCTGGGCCTTCCCTCTGCAGCGAATGATTCAGTAAACCCAGCCTTGGGTCTGAGAATAAGTATTTCTTTGTTTTTGTTTGTTTCTTTGAGATAGGGTCTCTCTAAGTAGCCCCGACTGTCCTGGAGCTCCCTCTGTAGACCAGGCTGGCCTGGAACTCACAGAGATCTGCTTGCCTCTGCCTCTCAAGTGCTGGGATTAAAGGCGTGCACCATTATGCCCTTTCAAGAGAGAATAAGCATTCCTAACAAGTTGAGAGATGATGCTGATGCTGATGCTGCAGAGCACATCTGGAGAGTCTCTGCCCTGTGTAGTCTTACTTGAGCATCTTACCAGCCTGTCAGATGTCTAGAGTTATGTGCAGTTAAGATCAGCTGGGAAGCCAGGGCTCCCAGTTCCTGGGGTACATTCTGGGGTATTATCCTGACCTGGCTATCTATCTTCTCCCCTGCCTCCCAGAGCCAGCCAGCACCTTTAGTGGGGTAGGCAGGACACAGGGGTACCACTCACCTGTTGGCATTCTCTAGGGTCTCCACCTTCTTCCACAGCTCAGTGTTCTCTGATGTATATGTCTCCACCCTGGAAGGATCAGGCAGACACAGGCTGAAGGCATCCCCATAGACTCAGCTGCTCCACAGCCGC